ACGCATAGATCCCGTCTAGTTGGAGCGCCAACAAGCGCTGTTGCGTGCCGGCCGTCGTTTCCCGTGCGGCCTGACCCGGGGGCGGAGTGCATGAGACTAACCAGCCGTATGCACCCGCCCCCCGCGCTGTGCTTCGGCCCTGGGCCCCCGGCTTTTCAGCCCACAGTGTAATCAACGTCATACATACATACATACATACATACATACATACATACATACATACATACATACATACATACATACATACATACATACATACATACATACATACATACATACATACATACATACAGTGTAATCAACGTCATACATACATACATACATACATACATACATACATACATACATACATACATACATACATACATACATACATACATACATACATACATACACACACAGCTCCTAGAAGACGAAAGGTGACGGCCCTCGAGAACTGATGCAGGGAGAACAACTCACATGCACATCCCCCCCCCGATGCGAGCGGTTGAAGGGCGACAGGGCAGCTCCTCCATCCAACTTGGAGCAATGCGGGATACGGCCCCTCCCCTTCCCCCCCCCTTACCTAGTGCATCCTTCCAGCACCGCCAGCACCTATACAGCACATACAGCCCGTCTGCACACATTGCTACAGCCCGTCTGCACACACTGCTACAGCTGGATATCAATGACCTCAATCTTACGAGACCAGACACGACGACTACACCACAAAGAATGTCGGTAACGTGTTGGAGCTTCACTACCTCCGGAACCACGGGTACATGACTTCACCATCGATTAGGACTCACTAGGTGGTTTCGGACTTTGGACGCCTTCCAGCAGGCAAGCAGTTCATGTTTTCTGAGCTTCTTCGCATCACATGATTTACCCCTCCCCCTCCTCCCCCCCTCCCCCCCCCTCCCCTCCCTCCCCCTCCCCCCCCCTCCCCTCCCTCCCCCTCCCCCCCCCTCCCCTCCCTCCCCCTCCCCTCCCTCCCCCTCCCCTCCCTCCCCCTCCCCCCCCCTCCCCTCCCTCCCCCTCCCCTGTCCCCCGAGCCGCACCTGGAGCGCCCCGGGGTACAGTCCGAGTGTGCACCTCTGCAGGAGCTGCCGCAAACCCTGTGCGGGTGCGGGTGTGTATGAGGGAGAGTGTGTATGAGGGAGAGTGTGTATGAGGGAGAGTATGTATGATAGTGTGTGAGAGTGTGTGAGAGTGTGTGAGAGTGTGTGAGAGTGTGTGAGAGTGTGTGAGAGTGTGTGTGAAAGGGAGTGTGAGGGAGTGTGAGGGAGTGTGGTAGAGAGTAGGATTTAGGGGAAGAGCGGAATCCCATCGCAAACCCGGCCCCGGGGGCGACACACAGCTACCCCCTGCCCCCTGCGACCACATGCCGCATGAACAGGTCGTGTGAGGGGGTGGGGGGTGGGGGTAGGGGCGGGGGGAGGGAGTGGACCAGGGCCCGATGGACGGATAGAGTGTTGTGGCCGCATCCGCAGACCAAATAATAATAATAACAATAGTACGCCGGCCGGGGCCTGGCGTGTGTTAAGGGGGTGGGGAACTGAGGGGCGGTGTAGCCGCTCCTGTATGCCCACACCACCCCGCAGACCAAATAACGGTTAACCAAATAACGGTTAACAGAAACCCACACAACAAGGGCGAGAGGGGAGAGAGCGAGTGATAGCCAACTGCAGGGAGGGCACAGATGCCGTACTGGTGGTTGTGATTTATGTGCCACACCTCACCATTGGGTCGGGGAAGTGCTGCTCCTCGTACTCGCGGTACCAACGGTACAGACTGTTGGGACCATCCTTGCCAAGACGCTCGTACCTGAGCGGTGGGACGAGCAATACACACCCACACGGACAAACCAAAGTGGTATTCGCAGCTCAGTTCATTGAAAGCTCATGCACAATCAAACACACACACATACATACATATATACATATATACGCATATACATATATAGGCACGTACATGCGCACATTAGCAGGGGCAGTCAAGAAGCCAAACCCGGGTAGTGGCGATCCAACAAATGGCTGTAAGAAAAACAGGGGGAGAGCGGTGGCAGCAGCAGCAGCAGCAACAGCGATATGAATATGTTTCGGTGACACGGTACGGCGCAGTACGGCGGTGGTTCATACTTGATGCAGGTCTCAACTCCCAGCTCAAGCAGCAACAGCAGCACGATGGCGAACGTCACGTGCGTCGCACAGTGCGCTATCGCAAAGGCCAGTTGTACGGCAAATCCACCAATCCGTGCCGCCAGCAGCGGCGGCGGCGCACGTACTGGCGAGATACTGCCGCTGCCGTCGGCGCGGTTAGCGGCGGCAGTAGCCGTCCCCGCCGCCGCCGCCGGTCCCATATCGCCGCCGCTGCCGCCGGGGCTGGCCATCGATGCTGCTGCTGCTGCTGCTGCTGACGACGACGACGACGACGGCAGCGGGGACTTGACGGCTCCGACCCCCCCTGTGTGTGAAGTCCGCAGCCAAAGCGCGTTTTGATGTGGTGTGTTGGATGGCAGTTGAGACGCGAATAAATACCAAGGGGGGAAGGGGGGTTGACTAGGGAACCAGTGCCCTGTTCCACCTTCCCCCTCCTGAGAGGGGTGTGTGTGTGTGTGTGTGTGACGGATGTGTGCGCGCCGCAACGTGTTCCCCCCTCCACACCCCTCCACTCTCCTCCTCCTGAAACCGCTGCAACTTACAACTGCCGTACAACTGCCGTACAATGGCTGTAACCCCAATCGACTCGGCCCCTCCCGCTTAAAATGCGCGCCCTGAGTGACGCAATGTAACGCAAGGAAAATTACTCTACGTGTACGGCACTCGCTCGTACACCCTTGTGCTTTTCCATCCCACCCCAGCCTCTCCAATCCAGCCTTCCCACTGACCTCCCCGCGCCAGCCCCAGGCTGAGGAGCAGCAGCACCACCAGCGCCCCCGCGGACAGGTAGCTGCGGCCCGCAATGGCCGCCAGCGTGTCCGTATACGCACTCCACATCAGGGATACCGCCTTGGCTGTGTGCGTGTGCGTGTGTGTATGGGAGGGGAAAGACGAACCACGAACGAGTGTAGGGGGGGGGGCGCCAAGGGGGGTAAGGGGGGAGGAGGAGGAATGGGAGACGGCGGAGGGGCGGCTGAGGTGAAGGAGGTAGCGGAGGCAGAGGAGGATTGGAAACACGGAGTACGGGTATTGTGAACTTGACCCTTACCCTCACCCTCGCTTCCCACCCAACCCCAAGCACATACATACATACATACATACATACATACATACATACATACATACATACATACATACATACACGCACGCACACACCGGGCGAGTCGGCCTCTAGGACCTCCGCCAGATGACTGCAGCGGGGGAGTACGGACACCACCAGCAAGAAATAAAACACGCCGCCGATGACGTCAAACCTGCAGTGGGGCAACGTACGACAAGGGCCAGGCCCGAAGGCGGCATGGGGCACGAGCGGGCCGGACAGATCCGTCGAGAAGAGGAGGGGTCCTGGGGGGTGGGGTTCAGCACCCTCACGGCGGGCAGTATAAGGGGGTAAGTACGTCCTAAGTACGGCGGAATGAGGGTGCGGGCGGGGTCACCGCGTCGCGAAACACAACGTGCTGGGTCACGTCACGCAACGTCATGCCACGCCACGTCATGTGTTAGCAGTTACCCGTCCCGCCCCGGCCCCTTTCTGCACCTCACTCCTCCCCCCTCCCCTCCCGTCAATCTCAACCCCATTCGGCCCCCCCCCCCACACACTTAACTCCCCCCCCCCCCACACACACACGCCCGCTCACCGTGTGTTCCTCAATCGAAACACATGCAGGTTCTTGCGGCCCAGCTGCAGGGACGTGCGGGGGGAGGGGTAACACGCCGCACACACATACTCCCCCTGGGGACCGGGGGAACTGTAACCCCCTCCCGCCACCACCCCGGGAGCAACACAAGGGCCCCCCGCCGCCGCCCATTGGGTGCCCGGGAGGGAGCCGGCGCCGTACAAAAGCGTCGGTTGTAGTGGTGGCGGCTGTGGCCAGCCGCCGGGCTGCAGCCAAGAGGGCCCTATGCGGGCCCCGGGCGGACCGCCGTACAGCGCATCACCGGGGTAGTAGATCCTGGAGGGAGATGACGTGGCGTCGGCCCCGCGGCGGCGGCGGCGGCGGCGGCGGCAGGAGGAGGAGGAGGGAGTATTCTTAGGTGCGAAATTAAAACGTTTTCAAGGATGACCGTGGTGTTGGGGGTATTGCTGGTGTTGGTGGTTGGAGGGGGGGGACCAAAGCGAAGATTCAGAGCGCGCGGGGACTGGGTATTGGGGAGTATGTTAGGAGGAAATGGTGGATGGGGGCGATAACACCTCGGGGGGAGGTCGGGGAGAGGGGGAGCGAGAGAGTGCACACGGTGCCGTACAAGTCCACGGGCATTCTGTAACCCAGTGTTCCCCAGCTCCCCCTATTACCCTCCCTGACTGGTTACGTACATGTGTACGAACAGCCTAGACCCAGCGGTCTCAAACCCCTCCGTCAGTACGACCATACCACCCAACCGCATTTCCCCCCCCACAGCGACCCCTCCCCCGCCCACCCGCAAGTGCACGGCAGCGCCACCGCCGCGTAAAGCCCTGCGGTGGCATCAGCGGCCGGGTCGTGCGGTGCGGGGAAGCGGGCCCCAGCAAACACATGTGTGGGGTGCAGGAACGCCCCGCCGCCGCCGTTCACCACCAGGTGCTGCGGGTCGTGGGGGTGACGGGACCACCGCTGTCGAGCCTCGCACGCGGCGCAGGGAACGCGAGCAGGGAGGCAGCTGCGCTGCACGTCAGCGGCGCCGAAGGTGCCGGCCGCGGCGGCGGCGGCGCCGCCGTCGAGTTGGAGGTAATGTGGCGGCGTCAGACGCGACGCAAATGCCGACGCCGGCGGCGGCGACGGTTCCGACTCGTTGTCATGACGGCCATGGGCCCCTTGATGGGTGCGGATGTGGGTGTGGGTAGCGCCATGTGGTTGAGTTGCAGCTGCAGGTTCCGGGGTTTTGAGGTGAGGGTGCGGGTGAGAGCGGGGGTGGGGGTAGGAATGAGGTTGGGGGTGAGGTTGGGAGAGACCCTCCAGGGCAGGACATGAAGCGGCGCGGAACACGGCGCCCGATGCAGAAGACGGCGGCGGCGGCGGCGGCGGCAGGACCTCCGCAGCCGCCACGTCGCCACTGATGCTGATGCTGCTGTTGCCGCCACACGCAACAAACGGCGATTTGCAGCCGCTGCCGCCGGCGGCTACGTGGCCAGCTCGTTCCCCTGACGGCGAGGTGGCCGGGAGGGGTGCCGCTGCTGGCGGCGGCTGCGGCGGTACATCGCCCCCCAGTAGCTGCGGGTGCTCCGCCTCCTCCTCCAGCACCGCGTCAAAGCTACTGCCGCCGCAACTCCCCCCCAACAATAATCCCTCCTTTCCCTGCTGCTCCTCATCCTCCGTAGGGTGATCATCATCATCATCATCATCACGATAATGATGAGGATGACGAGGAGGAGGAGGATGACAACCACCCGCATGACTGGTGCCTGCGGCAGTAGCACCCGCATCAGCAGCCGGCCCCGCCGCTGCCTGCTGCTGCTGCTGCCGTACCGCTGCCGCCTCCACCCAGCTGTGCCTCATGTAGAAGTGCAGGTCCCCCGCCAGGTGCACCCGGGCCCGCCCCCGCAGGTGCCCCCGCACCAGCTGCCGCAGGTTGGCACCCAGGTGCGGTCGCCGCCAGAACCACTCCAGCAGCCACAGCGGCTCGTGCGTCATGAGGATCACCTGGGGTGTGTGTGGCGGGTGGCGGGTGGCGGGTGGCGGGGAGCCCCCATCGGGGCCCCCCGGGGATGGTGGTGGTGGTGACGGACAGAGGGGTTAAGAAACATGGTGAAAACGATGAAAATGTAACGAAAGTACGGAAATGCAGTACAGATCATCGTACAGCTGTAGGTCGAGTCGGGTATAGCAAGGGGAGACGGAGCAGCGGAAGCAGCAGCAGCGGGCGCCTGGGCACAGCTCTAGGGCCGCGGCGCGCCACGGCGGCCGTCCTCCCCCCCTACCTGGTCCTCGGGCCCCATCCGCTGCTCGACCACGTTGGCGAAGTAGCGGTACTGCTGCATGTCGATGTCCTGGACCAGAGCCAGGTCGAATCCGAACAGCCACCAGCCAGCCGGCAGCCGCAAAGCAAAGTAACTTTTTTCCTGGGCAAAAGGAGGGAAAGGAGGGGAGGAGACGGCGGCGGAGACAGCGGTGGCGGCGATGGCGACACCCGTGCATTCCATGTGTTTTATCATTCACGAGTACGGCGGTAAGTACGTGCCGTACACTCCTGAACCGGACACATCAGTATATGCGGGAGGAAACCAGGGCGCCTAGGGTAGGATAGTAGGCGACGCAAACCCAGCACCGTTATGGAAATATAATATATTTAAGGGTACATTAGATTCGGACCGTGTCGTACCATGTCGTACTATGTCGCCGTCGTTATCGTACCTGCGGCAGCAGCCAGCCGCCCAGCCAGCCCTGGTGCTGAATCTCCCGTGTAAAGGTCTGTGTGTATGTTTGAGTGTATGTATATGTGCACAGGGGGAGAGGTGAAGGATCCGGGGACAGGGGGGGAACCCAAGGGGGGAAGAGGGCGGTGAGCGGGGGGATTTTCATTCTCTCCGTTGACACGCACATACACATACACATACATATACACACGCACGTATTGCAAGGCAGCCATCGCAATCCATAGCGCTGCACGTGAACTACCTTCTCGGGGGGCACCGGGGTCCACCATTAGAACCCCCACCCACCCACCCAACAGCCTGTTCACTCCCCAGAGCCCTCTCTCCCCCGCCCCCCTTCCCGCCCGCCCCCCTTTGCCCCGCCCCGTCATCACCTCCAGTCCATCAATCCAGTCGTGGTTCCCCGGTATGGCGAATGCTGTTGGTCCCGGGTACCTTCTCAGGGCCGCTGAGGAGGCTCGTCGGGAGGAGCGCGGACTGAGGCCCCGCGGGTCCGAGGGCAGGTGGGCCTCATGCACTCCCCAGGCTGGGGGCGGGGAGGGGGACAGAGAGTGGGGGAGACATGTCTGGATGTGGTCGTGTGGAAGGAAGCGCGCGGGTAATGTGGGGTATGGGTGCGGGAATGCCCACAACGCTGCGCTGCTCCTCTGCACCCCAACACAACCCACCCCATCCCCCACACTCACTCACCGGGCGGCAGGTCGGGTTTGTGGACCACCAGTCGACCGGTGTGGAAGTGCGGTGGAGGGGGGAGAGCGTCCGAAAAGGGTCTGCATGGGGGGAAGGTGGAGGGGGGGAGGGGGGGCAGCAGCCGCAGTGGCAGTAGCAGCAGCAGCGGTTGCGGCCACCCGCGTGTACGAGGAGATTCGGCTGGGCGGTATAATTGTCGTAATTGATTCGTCGTACGCGGCCTCCGCCAACCAGGCGGCGGACGGTACCCCGCACCGCACACTGGAGCGGTGGATGGGACCCCGACCCCCCCTTTCTCCCGCCCTTCTTCCCCCCCTTCTCCCCCCCTCCTACCCCCTTCTCCCC